CCGACCAGCCGGGAAGGGAAGGGCAGAAAGTTAGTTAACAAGAAGTTTTTTCTGCAGTTATAAAAAAGAGGCCTTCAAATCAGCTAAAAAGGGTTGTTTAGTATTGATTTTTTCCTGACAGGAAAACGACCAGACAAATTGAGTACAAGTTCACCAAAGCAAGTCTAAAAATGGTAAACAAGTGGTCAGTGAGACGGAAATTCAGCATGACTCACTCTAGAAATGGAAGTGCAAACTTCTAGAAACAATGAAACATAAGAAAATGCAAAACTAAGTAGCGGAACATGTCAAATGCTGGAGCAAGTTTCATCATCATCCTCATCTGTCTAATTGTGAATCACTCTTCAAAACACAGGCGCCATATGCAGAACAATGGTACATCAAATCACAAATGAATCACAGTGTACTGCATGAAAAGACAACTAGAAAAGGAAATGGCGAAAAAACTCACCTTCATCATGGAGCGAGCGAAAGGTAATCCGGCGTCGGTAAAATCCAACGATTGCTTGAGCGACTTGAGTGTCCTTTTTCCAGAAAGCGTCGCTTGAAGGGAAAACGTTGCTCTTCACAAAAGGGAGGGTAAGAGAATGCGAGTGCGAGCACGAGATTGTTCGCCAACTGATAAGGAGGCAGAGATTATCAGCAGCTTGCAGATTCGAGCGACGATGATTTTTCGCCGACAAAAAGCGTGCTTTCCATTGCACGTGGCGCCGTCTAGGGTAGCTGTAAAGTGGCGCTGCCGGGCAGCTGCCGCNGTAAAATCCAACGATTGCTTGAGCGACTTGAGTGTCCTTCTTCCAGAAAGCGTCGCTTGAAGGGAAAACGTTGCTCTTCACAAAAGGGAGGGTAAGAGAATGCGAGTGCGAGCACGAGATTGTTCGCCAACTGATAAGGAGGCAGAGATTATCAGCAGCTTGCAGATTCGAGCGACGATGATTTTTCGCCGACAAAAAGCGTGCTTTCCATTGCACGTGGCGCCGTCTAGGGTAGCTGTAAAGTGGCGCTGCCGGGCAGCTGCCGCCGCCGCTGCTCTGGACGACCTTTCTGAAGAACAACAAACAGCAGCAGCAGCAGCGAAAGCATACTCGACGAGCACACCAGAGCCCATCCAGCCAGCCAGTCTGAACCCGATTCTCCCGACACCGGTTCCCAGCCACCTCAGCCCCCACCACCACTAGCACGATGACCTACTGGCGCCAAGCTGGCCTCTCCTACCTGCGCTACTCGCGCATCGCCGCTCAGCAGGTGCGCAAGTCGCTGAAGGCGGACAGCAAGGTGGATCCCATCAAGGACACCTCCACCATCAAGGTATCCTTCAAAGCCAAGGAGGCGGCGGCGGCCAAATAAGAGCTACGAGTGAACCGTCTTCATGATGCCATCCCCCATATATCCACTCCATCCTATGTGGAGTGCTGTAATCCAACTCTCTCAACACCGTAGAATCAACACCGTGGCTCTGTAAAGTATAATGCAATAAAAATAATAAAAAAGCTGTCATTTATTCAGTAACAAGGCTTTTGTGTTATTAGAATGGGATAACAATGTTTTTCTCGGTGTAGTAGGCATCCAGCCAGCCCTTGATTATCTTCAACTCCTGAACTCGTACGTCCTTCAGCGTCTGCGGGTCACTGGGCGTAGACGGACGGAGGTCTTCGTGGTGGCAGGCGCCGGGAATCTTGATTGCCGGCAGTGTTGGGTTCAGGGTATGCAAGACGCCACCGGCTGACCACGGGTCACGATCACCATTGCTGAAGATGATGTTGGAGGCGGACTTGATGTGGTCGCCGCCAAAGAGAATGAGCGCCTTCTCCACGTCCGAGTAGACGCCAAACTGTTTGTAGCAGTTCAAAGAGTAACTGGTAATGTTCCACGGGTTCGGCTCGAACATGTCAGTGACGCCGTTGGAGCACACTGGCAGGACCATTTCGGTGCAGGCCTAGCAAAAAAGAAGTCAAGTTCAAGCTTCGATTTTGCCAACAGTATCAGTTCACTAACCTGAAAGTTCCATCCGGCGATATCGCCAAGGCCTCCTCCCGTAGACTCGATATCGTTGCATTTCGTTTGGCCTGATAAAGAAGAGGGAGAAACAGATTAGTCATATTGTGTAATAAGCAAGCAAAAGACGCATCTTACCAGTGTAATTGTAGAAGATTGAAGATGCTGTAGAGGAATGAGAGAACATTAGGTCTACTGATTGATGATGCAATAATTCAAGAATAAATCTACCTTGATAGATGGTCTTTATCAGCGTTCGCTCATCAGCATTCGGCGTGGTAAGAAACTTGCAGGCGTGCTTGATTGGATAGGCGGGCATCGGGTTCAGAAAGTTAGCTGGAGCCGGGTAATCAGTCATGGACATGGAGTCCCAGGCGCCGAGGATGAAGGCAACAAAGTCATCGACGGTCTCCCGTTTCAGTGGTTTGCACAGCTGAAAGAGTGCAGTGAGCCAGGCACGACCTTCCTCAGTCTCTGCCACATGTCGAACTGCCTTCCAGGAGTTGCGAATCGAACTGGAGCACAGTGGTGAGTAGTTGGTGAAGTCCTTGGTGATGATGTCGTAGTACTGATTGCACTGGTAGATGCCCGGAAACTGCAGAATGGGCGCAGATGCTGCCAG